TTTTTATTCTTAAGTATAGGAAATCCTCCATTAAGTTTTAAATAGCTCTCTTAACATCCTATTGAAAAGATAATATTTGTAGAACTCAATTCTAAAAGATGGTTACACCTATCTCTGTTTTGGTAAGGTTATTTGTTCTCCTATAAGAGTAAAATAATTAAATTTGAAATCACAAACTTCCTAAACTGGGCTACATATTAAGAGTGAACAGGATCATTAATGTCTGTTTTGTATATTACTTGGAGAATTTTTTTTAAACAAAACCCAATATTTTAAAATTTGGCACTTTGCAATACTGCTAGAAAATAGAATTGTGGAAATATTTAGCATTAAGACTTTCTCCAAGTGTTTTTTTATGAAGATCACTAAATTATTTCATTCTATTAAATCAAGTCAACATTCTATGCTTAATTGTTTTGTCTCTGCTTTCCAATTTTGTACTTTGAGTGAATTTTGTTCTCCGATGACATTTAGGAGTTGGAACAGACTCGCGGCGGTGAGTTTTGTCTTCGTTGTGTCAGTGTTCTGTGATTGTTGTTAGGTGCCATCAAGTTGGTTCAGACCCACAGTGACCCTCTGCCCAGCAGAATGCAATACTGCTCACTATGATCGAGCCCATGGTTGCAGCTGCTGCTCACTCCACCTCATTGAGGAACTTGCTCTTTTTGCTACCCTTCCACTTCACCAGGCATGATGTGCTTCCCTAGGGCCTGGCTTCTTTTGATAACATGTCCACAGTATACTGTATAAGGAAACGTTTCCCCATTCTTGCTTCTAAGGAGCACTCTGACCTTACTTTTTCCAAGACAGATCTGTTTGTCCTTTTGACAGTCCATGGTACTTTCAATATCCTTCTCCAGCACCCCATTCAAACACAATGATTCTTCTTTGGTCTTCCTTATTCAATTTCCAACTTTCACATACATAGGAGGCAATGGAAAATTCCATAGTTTGGATCAGGCACACTTTAGTTCTCAAAGTAACATCCTTACTTAACATCTAAAGAGGCCTGTGTCCAGATTTACCTAATGCAATGCATCTTTTGTTCTTTTGACTGCTATTTCCACGAGCATAGATTGTGGATCCAGCTAAGACAAAATCCTTGAGAACTTCAAATTTTTCTCCATTCATCATGCTACCTATTGGTCCAGTTGTGAGGATTTTGTTCTTTACATTGAGTTGTAATCCATACCGAAGGGTGCATCCCCAAATGCTTCAAGTCCTCCTCACTTTCAGCAAACAAGTTTGTGTCTTCTGTGTATTACAGATTGTTAATGAACCTTCCTCTAATCCTGATGCTGCATTCTTCTTCACAACATCCAGTTTCCTATAATCCAGTATCCTGCATTTTTATGCTTAATACTTGGATAGCAGTAGCCTGGTTCCTTTGCTAGCTATTAAAGAGTATTTTCTCTTCCTTGTGGTCAATGCATAATATTCTTTTTACTAAGGGACTATTATATTAGGGGTTTTCAAGAAGATCATTGAAAAATCCATTATGTTTCATTCCATTTTTTTCCATCAACTTTTCTGAAAGTCCCTCATATTCCTTGGTTGTATTAAAAGAACCATTTATAAAAGTTTCCATTTCTCTATAATTAATTTCTTATGTAGTTTCATTAAGTGCTTTACAGTCTTACTTCCCCAAATGAGTGGACCAGATGGAAACATCCTATGAAAATTGGTCCTCTTGGGAGGTGGGGCAAGGGAGGTGATGTTGACCAACCCTGGGACAAGGGAACAAGTGATCCAAAATAAGTGGCAAAGAGAGTATGAGAGGCCTGGTAGGGATTGATCAAGGGCAATGTAACTGAGAGAAATCACTGAAACCCAAATGAAGGCTGAGCATGATAGTGGGACAAGAGGAGAGTAAAAGGAAATAGAGGAAAGAACTCAGAGTTAAAGGACATTTATAGAGGTGTAAATACAGGCATGTTCATATGTAAAT